AAAGGGTTAAATTGAAAACAACAACAGCTTCTATCTTCAGTCTATTGTTATAAACCTTTCACCTGCATAGGTAGATTAGTGTTAAATAGAAAAAAAAAACTTCTATCTTCAGTCTATTTTATACCCTGATCCAAGAAAAATAGGAAGAATATTGGATTTTTTTAGTCTGAAGTCTTTCTTTGGCCCCTCAACAACATATGAAGAAAAAAAACAGAAATTATTTTGATCAAATTAGCGTGCAATAAGTCAAAAATCTATGTTGGTGTGGTCTTCTACTGGCTGTTATCAGGTATATCTGAATGTGTTCAACAGGGGTTTGAGCAAAGCTTTTACCACTGAATGATGCAGAAAGTCTCACATCCAAAAGAAACCGGATCAGATATGACACATTTGGCTTTATAGGATTAAGACCCCCAAAACAGCTTTAAAACCCCCCAAAAAATAGCTTTAAAAGACCCCAAAAATAGCTTTAAAAGCCCCAAAAAACATCTTTAAGTAATCAGGAAAATGTACCATGGTGGGATGGGATCCATCCCAGTTATTCTGAAAACCCCAGAGCAAAACTTAAATCCAGCATAAAACGCGCTACGATTCTGGCTTTTTGAACTTTATGAGATTAATGTTTTTGGAACAAGTTAAAAAAACCAAAACAACTTATAGCCGGGCCCAAAAATGCCTCGAATTCTTTTGCTTTTAATGTCTTAGATGTTCAAAAATAGCTCAGAAATGGCTTTTTGAGATGGGACCCAGAGCTCTGGAGGATTTATGTCACACAAATGAACCAGACTAATTCTTGGAGGTTCTTCCATCATTTTTTTCTTAAATGTTCACGGCAGCTTTATGACTAAGAGTGTGTATAATCCAGTGTAAAAAATGTCCTCAGTCCCAAAAGCTTTTCAGGTAGCAGCTAACAAGCTAGCATGATGTTCAAGGAAGATTAAAGGAGATGTGACTGTTAGCCCCATTCTTTAGTTGGAAATCTGAAAATAAACCAGAGTGGATAAAAAGTATAAAAACTGACATTTATTAAGTCATAGGTAAAGTATATAAGTATATAATCTTCTCTCTGGGTCTCAGTGGGCAAAGAGAACAAAGTTTTAGTTATTTTTCAGAATCATAACCAGAAATCATCAATTATTTTTGTTTACAACTCCAGATATACAACAGCATATATGTGAATTATGTCTATATATATATACACATATTTCTGGCTGTAACCACAGATTTATTTATTCATCTCACACTATCATTATCATTTTTTTGTTCTGTTGTATATATATATATATTTATATATAAAATATATATATATATTTATTTATATATAAAATATATATATATTTATTTATATATATATATTTATGTATATATTTATTTATATATATAATATGTATATAACAGAAAAAAATAAGTGATAATAATAGTGTGAGAAGAATAAATAAATCTGTGGTTACAGCCAGAGAATTGAACACAAAAGTACAGTTCTAAACGGAATAAGACAATAGGTAATTTACATAGATTATGTGATAGCATACGATGCTAAAGTGAGTAATTATAGCCAAATTATAGCCTAACATGAGGTAACAGCAACGTGTGCAGTAACATCCTTAAAAAGGCTTCAGATGTTTGTTTTTTTGCATATTAAAAACGCCTAACGTCCAAATACTTCTTCTTTAGTTGGAGGTAACCTATTTATCAGAGTCCCTACTATGCCTGGTTCCTGCTGGGCCTCTTCAAAGGTGTTCAAAATGTGTTTAAAATGTGTTTTCCCTCTTTATTTTTCCTTACATAACGCGTCCAGAGTGGAACGCTGTGATTTGTAAGGCACGCCGTTTCGTCAGACGTGTAATTTACGCGTCACCGTTGACACCTGTTTGAAGTCATAATTACAAGCTTTCAATATTCAATGGACATTTTTACATTTTACCTTTTTTTTATTTATTTTTTTTGTTATATGAGTCGTGTTGCGTTCAAGCTCGGTGTGGTCTTCTACTGGCTGTTATCAGGTATATCTGAATGTGTA